ACAAATAAAAAATTGTTTGACAATAATTCAGGGCAAGAGTCCCCCTCAGAGACTTTTCATCTGAAAAGAATTTTGAATTTAACTTTTCTTACTTCTATTTAAAATTTGCCGCATAATAAGTCAATATTATGCGAAAATAATCATTTTTTAACTCATAAAACCAGATGTCCGCCTGCTCTATGGAAAATTGCCCACTGTGCGGCAGGGGTCTTTGATTAAATGTATATTTTTCAGTTTAATTAACGTATTAAACATTTACTTTGGATCTAATGGAAAACATGCCATTTTCTTGCCATCATCTGTTAATTCTAATACGGACGTAATCGCTTTTAAATAAATTAATTCTTGTATTGATGCTTCAATTGATTTAATATTTGGTTTTGATAAAAAATCAAAATTAGCAATATCTCGAATACCCATAGCCAATAATTGTAATGTAACAGTAGATAAATTACATCGTAAAAGTTCTGGAATAGCTGCCTCTGATAAATGTTCAAATTCTTCTTCTAAACAAAAAACAAACAAACAAACAACAAAAAATAAATAAATTGAATTAATTTTTAAATAAATAGTTTATATTTATCTACCTGTATATAATCGATAACATGTGCCATTTGTTTCTCGACCAGCACGTCCTGTTCTTTGCCATGCTTGTGCTTGTGATATTTTTTCTATTTTTAATGTTTCTAATCCTGTCTGATGATTATACGTTTTGACCTTAACCATTCCACTATCGATAACATGTCGTATACCAGGAATAGTGAGTGATGTTTCACCAATATTCGTTGATACAACCACTTTACGAACATCTAAATAAGATAAAAAAAAGAAATTAATTAAATAATTATTTTAATTGAAATTAACAGATTAATAAAGGTAAGAAACAAAAACACAATAAAAATATCTGTCATTGAATAGATTCCAGTGAATATTCTATTAGGTATGACTAAAAAAAAACGCGAACATTCGAAAAAAAAGTGTGCTAAATTCATCTCCAGATAGTTCTAAGTCTACTGGTACCATTTTTAACTCGAACAAAA